ATGTTAAGCCTAACGAAGACTATTGTATCGTTAAAAATTAGTTTTTTATTTTGTACAAACAAAATAAATATATTGAAAAATATAAAAACAATAAAAAATTATACTTCAGAAGTTAATTTAGTATCAAAAACATAAAATATTTTAGTAGCCCAAGACATAGCCAAAGATTGCAGTGCCACAGCACTGGCGAAAATTTAAATTTTCCGACTGGAATTCTTTCGGATAATTGACATTTCGGATGATTGACTTTCGGATAATCGACACTCTACTGTATATATATACAGATTGAAAAAAATGTCATCAATCATAATCTTGCTCACACTTTGCAATGTTATCAGCTTCCTTTTTTAATCAGATCTTGTAAATCCAAGAAATTTTACTTATTGCTTATGATAAAATTAAGAAACAAATTGCATAACTTTTCCAGCAAAAACATTAAAATTGCATGTGGCACCATATGTTACGAGATTTTATTTAAAATTTTTTTATATTTTTCATTAATTTAAAATGGAAAAAAGCTTAATTTTGAGGGTAGAGATGAGTTTCATAAAAACCTGTAGATGCTGCTAATGAGTAAAATCTTATTAAGTCCAATTCCACTCAGGATATAACACATGACCCCCTCTATCTTCAAACTCCTGACCCTTAACCACCAAAATTTAACATTAATGCCCCTAATGAATAAACATCCCTGCAAAATTTCAAAAATTTTTGACAAAAGACACAAGAGTTATTAAGCTTCAAAGTGGGTGAACAAAATCCTCCCCCCACAAAATACTAGCAATCCATACAGAGAAAAAAAACCCCACATTTTTTGTATTTCTTGGCATTTCAGGGTCTTGTGTTCAAAAATGTAAAACTTCTAGAGGTTCGTTTTTGATTGATCACCATACTTTCTCTCTGTTGTACGCAACAGCCAAAAAAGTATAAGGGGCAGTCAAATGAAAATGAGACCGACTATATAACGAGTGTGGCATGGAAGTTAGTAATGCAGGTAGGTGTATGTATAGAAGTGCCCGCTGTTGGGAATCAGGAAGGAACAGTGCAAAACATTCACCGCTGTGCCATTTGTCTGTTAGATGTGCTCGAAGTGAGGTCAGCAAGTCGTGTGTGCGTCTGACATCACTATGGAGGCTGGGAAAGAGGAACAGTGAGGTGTAGTGTGTTTTTTGACTGTGGTAGGAGTGTCAGGAAGTGAAATTCATGCCCGAATGTCTGCTGTGTATGGCAAACACAGTATGTCAAGTGCATGTGAGTTTGAGTGGAATAAACAATTTCAAGAAGGTCAGATGTCATTGAAAGACAGCAGTTGGCCAGAACAGCCTCATTGTGTCATTACCTCTTCTATCATTGCCATCAGAACTGATCGATTGTGGTCGGTGGAAGACATTCAGCTCATGTTGGGCATTAGTCATGGTACTGCTCACGCCATCTCGACACAGCATCTGAAGGTCCGGAAAATCAGTGCTCAATGGGTTCCTCACAGCTTGACAAAGGAGCAGTTGAACAGAATGTCAACATCACTGCAACACCTGGAATGGTATCACGATGAAGAATATCGTTTCCTGTCCTGTATTGTCATGGGAGATGAAACATGGTGTCATCATTTTGAGCAAGAGAGCAAGCATCAGAGCAAACAATGGAAGCACATGGATTCACCCCCACCAAAAATATCCACGCCATGCTCCAGGAAAGTTGTGATGATCTTTTTCTTTGACTACAAGGGCCCACTACTCATTGACTTTCTGGAACATGGTGCCACAATTAACGCACAGCAGTACATGGAAACTTTGCAAAAATTGAAGCATGCCTTCAAGTCCAAACACCCAGGAATGTTGACGGACAACATCATTCTGTTGCAAGATAATGCCTACCCACATGTTGCCAAGGTTGTTTCAACTATGCTACAGAAGTTTCGCTGGGAAGCCCTTACACATCCTCCATACAGTCCCGATCTCTCCCCATGCGATTTCCATATTTTTGGAGCCCTGAAGAATTTGTGGCTATAGGGATATAGAGATTTACATGTTAATTAAGGAATTCAGTTAGTTTGAAATGGCTTCTTTGAAATTTGAAGTGAAAATTTGAAGTCCAAATTGTTATATGTGTACATTAACTTGTTCATTTAGATGGAAGTGCCTCCATACTATAAGAGAACAATAGACGACCAAGAACGACTCTAATCTGGTCAACAAGCCTTTGCTTTTATAATAACACATTTTCAGGTATCACCTTACAAATGGACTACTCCCTTTTTCCTCTTATTTCATAAAATATGGCTGGGTTTTGGGATTGCAAGATTGGGCTACAAGTAGCAGATTGAGATATTTATAGTACTCTAGGCCAAGGGTGGGCATCCTTTTTTATAACATGGGCCAGAATAAATTTTGTTTTTTCCACAGGCCGCAGTAGTTAATTGACACCTTTTTGTGACCTGTAATTTTTTAGTCTGCAAATATGAAATAAATATAAAAAAAATTAATTACTACATTTATTTCTTTTATCATTTTCAAAAAATTACAAAGAATTGGAAAAATAACTATTAATCATAAAACAATAAATACGCGTGTATAAAAGAAAAAAGTATTTATTTAATGTGACATCTGGTGCTGCAAAGATTTTGTTAGTATTTCAATATCTGGTTCAATTTGTGTGGTGCTTAAACACAAGTAGTTTTCCAAATGCATATTGGTTATTTTGGTTCTGTACTTCGATTTCAAGTACTTCATCTTGGAGAACAGCTGTTCACATCTATATGTTGAGCCAAATAAAGAGTAAATATATTTTGCATTATCAAATAAATTTGGAAATTCTTCAGCTGACAGATTTTTATAAAACTCACAGACAGGTGTAAAATTAAAATTTTCTTATAAACCTACCCTCTCTTTGAGATCCAATAATTCCGTTTGAAATTTTTCTGGAACAGTTTCGATTTCAGTGATAGAAATGGGTGAGTTAAATAACTGAAAATAAATATATTTTCTTGTCGAAATCTTGAAAATGTCGATCAAATTCTGAATAAATATCTTTGATTTTTTTTAATGAAAAACTGAAGATTATATCTGTTACAATAATTAGATAATGATGGAAAACGAAAAAGATTATTTTTCTCTATATGGAATTGCCACAAATGGAGTTTACTTCTAAAAGTTTTAATATATCCATATAATTATGTCACATCTTGATTTTACTTTTGCAAGGCTTCAATTAAAACATTCAGGTGTCCTGTAACATCAACAAAGAATGCCAGGTCTGACAACCATTTTTCAACATTTAATGCTTGAATGGGAATTCCTTTCATATCCATGAATAATTTAATTTTGTGTTTCAAATTATAAAATTTGCTTAATATGGTTCCTCTCAAGAGCTAATGGACTGGACAATAATGTTGAACATCTGTATATTCACTTTCAAGATCAATTAGCAATTCTCGAAATTCTCAATGACTTAGCGTTGATTTTTTTATTGTTTATGTAGATGGATAGGACAGACATTACATTTTCTAATTGCATAGCTTTTGCACATAGATTTTCTTAATGGATGATGCAATGAGATATAAATAATTTAGAAAAATTCTGTTCTCCCATTTTTTGTTTAAATAAGGAAATGACTTCCTTATTTTTCCTGTCATTGCTGCTGCAATGCTTCAGAGAATAACATTCAATTTAAACTAGATGAATTACATCAAAAAATCTTTATTTATTTCTTCTAAAGATCTCGCAGGCTGGATAGAAACTTTTCGTGGGCCAGCTACGGCCTGCGGGCCAGGGGTTGCACACCGTTGCTCTAGGCTGCTACTTTTTGGGTCACTTTAAAAATAATTTGGGTTATATTTTGTAGTATTCTGCTTTACTTTTTATAAAACCTATCTAATGATCTGCGAGGTTCTTACTGGACATGTGTTGTTTACCTACAGTTTATTATTACAATGGTACCTCAGGATACGAAATTAATCCATTCCGAAACTGAGATCGTATCATGAAAATGTCGTAAGGTGAATCATTTTTCCCCATAAGATTACACGTAAAATCAAATAATTTGTTCCAAGATGAAAAACACGCTCAAATTAAAGCTAAGTAGTACATTAAAAAAAA